TGATAATACTTATGAACAAATTATTGAACAACCCCATACCACCGCTTTTCAGTCTCAAAATAATCATTTTTTTAGCCCACGATGAGCCGACAACTTGGATCCCTACACCGATCAAATTCCCACCCAACCAACCTCACCTCTCCAATCCCAATAATACCACTTTTTGCTTTTCCGCCACCCGATTTCCCATCTAGTAATATAACATCAGGCATGAATTCCGACACTAATTCACACATCTCAGTTTTATACTCCACCTCACAACTCAATAACCCGAATATTGAAACCCCCGATGAATTCGCCGATTCAGAACCATCCCCATCCAATAATTTTCATAACTCTTCAAATTTTTCTCAACCCCCTTTTCAACCTATATTATCAAATAACCCTGACCCAATCAATTCTACACCCTCTTATGCTTCCCAAGTTACCCCAACCTACTCCTCATTTCATTCTGACCAATCATCTAATTCTCCAGACACCCCCCGAATCTCCCCAGAGCTAGATAATTTTATAACCCTCCAACAACAACCCTACCACCTTCACACCCCAACCATAAACCAAATCTCTTCCACAATAGATTCATCCAACCCCCCTACCCCTACACCCTCTTCAAATTATACTGAATCATTAGCACATCATCCATCATCCACATCTACTGAATCTTCACTCAACACTAATAGAGCTTACCGCACTTTTAAAAGAAAGTTCCCCAACCATCCTTTCCCAGCAAAACCAGGAACAGCCCGTGAATACATCAACCATCCCAAGCACACTAACACCAAAGAATTTTTAGCTATCACCTTACCCCCATTCCCACAATACACCTTAAACACCCCTCACGACACTAACGAAACACGCAGCTTTGTAGACGAATACGTTTTAATGCTCACTCTCTCTTGGACCTCATATTATTATTTTACTAATCCCCTTTGCTTACCTTTATCTAGCACTCACATCGATATAGAGCGAAATAAGGACATGCTATATCGACTCACTACACCACTAACCGCTAGACAATTTACTTACGTTGGATATAAAAAATCACTAAAAACACACACTGCACCTAGAGCTAATGAATATACACTCGAATACTATGATCATAACATCATCAGAGCTAACCAAGATCAATTCTTAGACGACGATCGCTTCGCTAATCCACAAATCACCGAGAAATTTTTCATCACAACACCATATGTATTTACATTAAACATCTTCGATCGAAAGTTTGACCACATTATTTCAGAAGCACTAACAGACACACAAGCATACGAAAGTTTTAAAGAACGCTTCCAAATATTTTCACTAACCTTTCATTTCCTTGCACCACACGAAAGAGATTTACACTGCTCACACGATATTATGTTGCGCACTAAACAAACCCACACATATAGTTATTATCGCTTCATCCAAAATCACTTTGACCTACACACACCCTCTAGACAACCACACCATCGTTTTCAATTCATTAATTCCAAATACACTTCACCATTTTTCCTAAATTTCACATATTGCATTAAAGATACTAACCTTCATGGTATTCTTCGCAATTATGATCCCATAACCCAAATGTACATCTTCTGTCCCATCACCAAGACCTTCAACGCCGAAGAATCCCGACCCTTCCTTATCCCGCACGAGTTTGTACAACCTATAGAAATCCCAATTTTAGAATTCATCCACAACACTAAATTCAATCACAAATTATATAATCTAATCCAAAACACACCTTACGAGTTTGCAGTTGGCACTGAAGAACTAACCACCATTAAGGCACTTCAATTGCTTTGGCCACTGCTTCAGACTAAAAATATCATCCGCATCTTAGCTAAACTACTAACAACTTCCGATCTCATCCACGACATCTTCCCCCACGGTTTTTTCCCCGACAACTAACAGGTAAGTATGAATTAAATGTATATTACTAACTAATTACAATATTAGAAACTCACCATTCTTTATCCATGTTTTCTTTAAAATTTTTAGCCTTCATCCGACAATCATCTAAAAAATTCACAAAAGAAAAATAAAAAATCGAAAACTTCTTCAAACAATTTCAAAATTCTATTAACCTTTTACACTCATAAATTTAATAAATTTAATACCAATGCAGTAAATTCATTTATAAATTTTTCCCCCAAGCAGTAAATCTAATAATGATGAAAATTTGTAACTTAATTTTTCCCAATAAAAAGCAGTAAAATTCAAAATTCTATGTAATAAATTGATAAAACGCAAATGCAGAACTAACCTTTTGATATTCTCATTTATTCGCACAGAAATTCTATCCACACTCGCACAGCTCGCCCACGAAGAATTGTTTAAAATAATGAATTTCAGTTTCAAGTTTTAACACTCAACAACTCTAACACAAGATAACACGTTTTAAACTTTCCTTTAACCTGGTTGGAAAGGAATCATATACTAAACAAAACTAACCAACACAGCTTACTAAATACCACAAATCATAGAATAACAGCATGACTAAGAAAAGGAAACCAACGGTACCCAAACCGGATTAACCCAGTTTAAAACTGGATAAATTATTCTTTTGAAGACTATTATAAAGTCTCAGAAAGAAATAATAAAACACAAAAAAGTCGAAAGACGAACCCATACCACAAACAATTTGATTTTTGAAAAAAGGACACAACCAACAAGACATAAGAAAAAACCACAACAACTCAACATAAAACGTTGTCACATAACAGGACCCCTCACAAAAACCGCATGAAATCATACTCCCACTCCTGGCCTAACCCACCAGGAAGGACGTCCTGAGCATGCTCTATAGCCGGCCTAACCCACCGCGCTACATCCACGCTTTGTGACCACACTTCTATTTTTAATAAGAGCTACTCAAGGGTGAGTAACTCTTCAAAATAACCGAACTAAAACAAAAAGCTTTTGTGAAAACAACTAACTAAAATCATAATTAAAAAATATTAAACTAATAAAAGTTTTATAAAATGTAAATTACATTATGCAATACATAGATCAGAATACAACACCAAGGACGAACATCTAAAGACAAAACGACCCCACTACACTCGAGAGAGAATGGCCAACTACAATCGATATGCCGCTCACAATCACAACTCAAAGGATTTAGAGTACGACTTGACTTCGCAGAAAAGGACTTCATTGAACTAGACCAATGACCACCTCGATGCTCAAGTATACGTACAGATCCGAGTAACCAGGCATCCCCTCCACGCACAATCTCCACGCCATTCCCAAACTAGATCAGACACAAAAGAAGTTCTCCACGAAGAACAGAAAAACCTGACATAGCCAACCATTCTGAAATCAGATTTGAGTTTGTTGCAGAGACTTAGTCGTTGTCACTAGAAGACACAACGTCTTATGTCCCTAACTCCAGCTTCCTGGAACTTCTCTAACAAAGAGGAAACGGAAGAAAATTATGATGTTCGCCAAATACCAATGTCCATCATCCATCCTTCGAATTGCAGAAGAACTATTCTAAAAAACTCTGTAAAACCCGGATGGGTGGAACCTGATCTAAACTACATTTTATGATTGGATAAATTAGATATTTTACCAATGTAAAGTATTTAATATTAACCAATCATGATCCATCTAACTAACAACCCACTTATTTGTAAGTGCTGAAATTACTTGTAATTTCAGCACCAGAGAGATTTGAATTTAACTTAGAAATTAGTTGAACTCTCCCGAGCACTTCAGCAGCCGCAATAAACCAGTATACCCTAGATCTATTGAGCCTAGCAGAGACTAGTTAAACAACCTGAGACTAGATAGTATAAGAGTAAGATTAGGATCGGTATTAGACTAAGAAGTTGCACGAATCTATCCGGCCGAAAATAAGATAGCGTGACGAGCAGACGGTGTACCCTATCCGAAATTACTCTATGAGTTATACCCATCGGTCATAACTCATTTGAATTGTTTTTGTCAAAAAAATTTATGCGTGGTTATACAAGCCAAAATTATGCAAACAAAATATTCGAGCAAGCAGGAAGTTAAGCCTTAGAGTATATGAACCAGGGAATTTTACGTCATTTGAATTAAACATCTCAATATTTCATATTTGTTACATAAGGCTTACATAACTCTTCGGTTGGTTGTTTGGTTCGATTATATGGATGGCCTCTGAGACATACTTCGGCTGGTTTCTATACCACTTATTTGCCGAGTTTGCTACGCGTTAACATAAACCAGGAAGCTTTGCGCCAATTAACTATCTTAAATTATTTTATCGGGCAATTTCCAAACTCCTGAACTTTCAAATAAAAAATTTCAGTCCACAAAAAATTTCATCTTTTTAAATTTAAGCTCACCGCATTGCTTTCAGATAAAAACAAAAAGTATTTTTGTCAAAAACGTTTAATTAAAAAATTAAAACTGGTCTGACTGAATAACTTCCCCCGGAGCACAGACCTTTTAATAGCAATCATTACAATTGATGCGCATTGATGACTCCGCCCTTTTGTGAAATTGGTGGCGTGTCAAAAATGTGTGTCAAAAATGTGAGTTTTGTTTGGGCTTTTTTCATACAGTCAATATATTTAGCTTTGGGCTACCTGTCTGCATGAAGATTGCCGAAAAGAATAACTAAATTAAGGCAAGCTTTCATGGCTTTCTTTGGAGACATTTTCGGATAAGACAAAAAAAAGTTTTTTTTTGTCAAAAACGCTTAATTAAAAAACTTAAAATAGTTTAAATGGATAACCCCCGAGCGTAAAAAGTGTTATATCAATCAGTATGATTGATGCGCATTGATGACTCCACCCATGTGTGAAATTGATAAGTGTCAGAACGGCCAATGCAATCAGCTTTGAGCAACTTGCCTGATGATTACATATAAGACTATTTATTTGAGTTTAAAAAAAGAAACAAAGATGCAATATGAAAAAATTATTCAATCTTTTTTTTCTGAGCGATAGCTGGGTTAGACTTTGGAGCGGCAAGAATACAAAGAGTTCTGATTTCTCTTTCAAAATGTAAAAATGAATTCATATCTTCGAATTTAACTCGCCAAGAAACTTCAAAAAAGGAGGCAAGTATAAAACAATATCCAAACAACCTTTTTGCAAACAAAATATGCTATTTGTTTCTTAGAATTCCTGTTACCAGTAGTGGATTTCGGGCGGGGTAAGGGGTTGAAAAAAGATTGGGAGCAGACGCCCCTTTGCCAGAAATTAGACTCCCTCGCCACCTTATGGGTCCCCCATTTTCATTAGGACCTCCATTTTTGCTGAACTACCCTATAACTTTGACCATTTTTCAAATGTTTTGCTGTTTTTTGGCAAGTTTTCAGGGGTGCCTCGAACTAGAAAAGCTATTCATTTGCGTCGGCGATTTCATTAAGAGTTTTGTGAGGTTGATCGGTCAAAATGATTATTGCCATCAAATACTATTACATGGAAAAACTTCAAAACTAGAACTAAGGAGGTGTCCATTATTTTCCTTTTTCATAGCAAACTTGATACAAGAGAGGCTTAAGACCAGGGGCGGATTTAGGGGGGGCTTTAAGGTACGCCCTTTCTCAGGGATTCGACCCCCTGCCGACCCAAAGAGTCCCCCCTTTGGTACTTTTTTAAGAAATCCATTTTTGGCCGACCGACCCTAAAATTTTCAAAAAAAAGCCTGCGGCGCAGAAAATTCGGCCAAAACGGGGTCTTTTACTGCTTTGGCACAGCTCTGAAAATCAATCTGATCGACCTAAAAAAAAAGGTCGTCTAAATTTTCAAAAAAATTTTGAAAATCAGCCCCCCCCCCCCCCCCCCTCGAGAAAAACCTAAATCCGCCCATGCTTAAGACGCTTTTTCTTTTTCTAATTACCGTTACAAAAACTAACTACTGTTGTAAATAATTAAACTAGCTTTCTGAACTTTTTCTTCTCCGATTCTCCAATAAAGAATGATCAAAATCACGGAGGAGGAAGGTCGCTGGGCAACCAACTCCACCATCGTCCAGTATCTTGAGGTTCCGGATGAGCCGATAAACTTCTGGATTGTGGCGGCAGCTGCCTCTGTATCTGGAGTAGCTCTTCTCTCACAGGTCACGTCAAGTCATGCAAATAAGAATTTATTTTGGTTTTCTTAATGTTCAAAGCAGCAAAAGAAAGAAAAAACAAAAAAAGAATAGTTTCAAAATATCAGATTCAAAATATTTACGGCAAATGTATGTGTTAAATGAAGAAGATAGACGAAGGAAATTTTTGATGCCAAACAACTGTATACCTGAGTTAGATTTATTTAAACACGAATCATATATACTTGAATCATAAAAAGTTGGGTAAAGAAAAAAAACAGAATAAAAATAGCTTTCAATAAAATATTGATATTTGGCTCAAGTACAGATCAAAGCTGAAACAGATCTAAAAATTACAAAAATCCAAAATTCAAGAAATTCGAACGTTCTTAAATTTTTAGAAATTGCTTCTGTTTTCTTTGTTGCGACTTTTGTAATGAAACTAACGGAATATTTGTGCTCGAGGTGGTAGTCCGACAAAATTCGACTTTTTAGCTAGCCATTTTTGACGGATTTCTTAAAAATATCATTCAAAAGGTTTTTGTTGTCATGAGCTTAAATTTAAAAAGATATCCCACCTAAGATCTTTTTTGTAGAGTTATAGGGGTTTAAAGATTGCCATTTTCGCCAAAGGGGGACAAATAACGCGCAATTTAATCCCTCTTAGAAACCGTTCCAAATTGATTGAAGGAAACTTATTGTTCCGACTTTTGAAGAAAACGGAATTTTTATGCTCGGTATGGTTTTTTTATTCAGTCAACTTTCACCGATCAAATAAAAATTTTAAAAACTGTTTGAAGATATCGACTTCCTGAGTTCAAATGTAGAAAGATATTTCACCTCAGATTATTTTTTGTAAAGTTCTGGGGGTTTGAAGTTAGCCAAATTATAATTATCTATACTCTGGACTAAATTATGCGCGCTTTGAAGAGTTTATTCATAATGCTGAGAGGTTAACGCGAATTCAAAACGAATCATTTAGCGTGGCAAATTATCCTGCAAAACAAAATTGGTCCAAATTGAATTGAGGCTAGCCAATTTGTCGTATTAATTTCATACGACTCAAAAATTTACATTTTGATATTATTCAAAATTTATAGGTTTTCAATATTTTTTTCCTAAAACCTATTTGATATTAATTAAGGGACAGTCGGAACAATCAGGGCTTTGCCCTGATATACGAGCAGATTTGTTTGCCATAAATAAGTTGGCACTAGGAGCGAAATTTACTACTTGTACTTTATATGGCGTGTGAGGGGATGATTTTTACAAAAAAAGTTCGAGTTGGTTTGAAACAAAATTTCAATTTAAGTTATTACATTTAGTTTTTTCTTGTTATTACTGCTCCATAGAACTTAAAAGGTACTCGGAAGATTCAGGGCTTCGCCTTGATACAAGCAGTCTTGTTTCCATTTCAATTAAACCTCGATCAGAGAGGCAGTAGTTTTTTTTTCCTACCGTATTCTACTTCCACTGCTCAAGAGCTGTTTATAATCTGTGCATAACCGTGTCTATTTTATATAAGTCTATATAAGTCCGTTTAAGTCTATATTTCATTTTTAACAGCTAACTTTTGTCGTTTTCTCGTAAATTTGTAACTTAAGATTTTCAAGCAAACAGCATGGAGTCATGATTTTGAATTCAATTGATCTATCTCAACTCTTAAGCAAGCTCAACAGCTCTGGTCCTTTTTGTCCCCTATAGTTCCAGGTTGATTTGTCAGTTTTGGATAAAAGGTGTTTAGATTGGATCGAATAAATTTAGAAGGTCAAAACAATTTTTATCTGTTTTTGCTATTTTACCCCTGCTATCAATCAAAAAATTAGTCAACGAGTAATTTTTTGCTTGGGCAAGTTATATAAAATGAGGAGTATATCTCTAATTAGTTTCTCCTAAACGAATTGAGAAGTACTTTTCTAGCTATTTCCTTCTACGAATGCATTACGAGAACATAATTCTACGATTGCATAATCCTTACTTTCGTCGAAAGTCGGAACAAAAAATCACCCCAGGAACCCCAGGAAAATATATTCCTCACTTTCTGCGAAACTAGGAACAAAAGACTATCGCAATAGTTAATTTAAGCAAGTTATTTTGCCCAGTAACGAATCTTTTACATTAGATGTAAATAAATCAAGAAATCCGGAAAGGAAATTCGTGCAAAACATTGTACAGCAAAAATACCAAACGGATCTTGCGGCGCTGATAATAGTTCATGTTCCAGATTCCGATAGTGTTGATTGGTCTGGGTCTGGAGGGTGACTTTTCTGCGAAGACGCTGATGGTGGTCCAGGCAGTGGCTGAGATGCTGCGACGGGCAGCTGCCACCTACCTCGCACTCTGCGGAGCCATCGGTTATCATATTCATCTTTGTATTTATACCTTCTCCAACAACGTTTTAATAAGTTTTCAATCTGTAAATCTATAACAAAAAAAGCAATTGTTTTTTTTTTGTATTTTTATATGATTGTCTATAATTTTTTTAAGGACCGATAGCGCGGTCAAATAGTTCACGTTTAATTGAAAGTTTGCAAATGGTTTTCATGCAAAATGAAAAATATGTATTTTTAAGTACGAGACCTCAATAGTTTTCAGTTATTCAGTCATTCCAAAAGATTTCTCAACTGTGTTTTTCTTTAATTGTGTTTTAATTTTTCCATCCCCACCCCGTGATTAATTGAGCTATCTACCCTCCTGGCAAAAACGGTAAAACGCTACAAAAAGACGTCAGCAAATGCAAGTAGATGGTTGATGTGTTCTTAGCACTCAATCAATTGACCGCCTGAAGTTTATTTTATATGAGTATCGAAAAAAACTTTGAAAAATAAAAAATCGAAATTTATATACATAAAAAAAACTTTTTATGTAAATTTTTGTTTGGGCGACCGTTGCCTCATTCATCAAGGAAAGCAAAATACCCGGGTTGGTAATCTCGCCTTATATCTGAATAGCACAAACTGTTCTCCGCAGCACCTCAATATTGTACGCAAGAGCTTTTTTCCTTTTAGGACAGAAACAAGTAACTGAAAAACATATAATCGAATCAGAATACTTTCTGAGGGCGTCAAAGTTTATCAAAAAAATCAATTAGTACATTTTTTTTGTGAGCGGTGCAATAAAAATGCGAACTTAGGCATATTTGACCATCATAGTAACAAAGGCAAATTAGAAAACAGAATTTGTAGAAAAATGACTAGAAAAACAAAAAAATGTAGATAAAATTTTGTAAATGTACAATTTTTTTTTGCAAAAGTTTTTGAATTTTGAAGTTTTGGTTTCCAAACTGGCGCTATAAAACTCGGAAAACTATCTTTACTTGATTAAAACTAAGTTTTGACTGCCTAAATTCAGCATAAAGAAACTTTTGTAAGCCTGCTTAGCCTCACCTTATTAGCTTGAATTAGACCAAAAAAATGCAAACTGGTTTTTCTTACATATTTAGATTAATCTCGTTTGAATCGCGACTGAAAGGTCTTTGACGTGATATGATATTCGACCCATTTCGTTGAGAAATTGTTTTTCTTGAATTTCCGAAGAAAATTTTAAAAAAGAAAAAGAAGAAAAAAAACTAAACACAGCCGAATACAAAGTACCTCCACAATTTTCTTTATTCTGACCACCGAAGGTTTGTTTTTTTTTGAAATTTCTTCCCAAGCGAAAAGAATTATAACCCAAAAATTATTATGATAGAATTAGTAACATATATTTTAAAAGCACTTGCAGTTTTTTCGGCCAAAATAATAAATTCTTAAGGCAGTTTTCTTAGTGCCGACAAAATCTCGTCTCAATTTTTTGGTGTTAAATTATTTTTTGAGCAACTAGAGCGAGCATATACAGAGTGTAAAGCTCATACAAAGCTATAATTTGAAACTTCAGCTTAAATAAGCATTTTTGGAAGTTTAACGTGGAAGTTTATCGGCACAAAAAAAAATCTTTTTTTTTATTTCCAAAATTGCTATTAATTTCAACATCAATTGTAATTTGCTGCAATCAGTGGTAAAGTTTCCAAGCTACGTTTTTCACTCTCCGCGCTAAACACAGAAACTACAATTTTGACTCTTTTTCTATTACTGTGGTCGGAATATTCTAAGCTACATCAGCTACATCAGGATATCCATGTAGTAAATTGCTTTTCCTTGATTGACCAGCAGAATATAATAAGATGTTGAAATGGATTATCGAACCATTTATATCTCAGGAATAACAATAAAATACATTTAAGTCGCTCTTCGACTAAAGACTAAATTCATGTTTTTCGATATTGGGATATGTTTTTCGATTCTTTTGGTTTCCGAATCACAACCAGTATTATAAAAGCACAGTTGATTTGACACGACTTTTCAGTGAATTATCTAAAAGTGAAACAAAAGAACCCAGCCGATAATTATCATTCATATTTTGCCTCATTCAGAAAAAAAACAAGACGCCCAAATTCATTTTTGCGTTTTTTTTGTGCTGAATGTGAAATTTAGGCAAAAGCTTTTGTTATCAGCAGAGATAACCGGTTTTAAAAAGCTATTTTAACCGTTCGGCTATGAGCGGATCTGAACGAAAGTCTAGAAACGAAATTTAGTGAATAGTACGAATAGAAAACGCATATTTGACAACGGTTTCTACCAAAAACCTAAAAGAAAAAGAAAAACAAAAAAGTATGAGAAAAATTTTTTTAAAAGATTTTTGCAGATAATTTTTTGGTTTTTTCGGTTTTTTAATGTCAACAATGCGCTTGAAGAAGATTCAAAATTTAATGTTTTTTGGTGTGAAAATTAAATTTCACGTAATAAAACCGTTTCACTCGCTCGAAGTTAGACAGAAAAGTTTTTAAACCAATTTTTCTCCACACTGCTAATATTTTTTGAAAAATTTTTAATAGTTTCCAAACGGCTGCAAGTGTTTTAATGTGATATATCACTCAACTTCTTCCAAAAATTTTTGTGGTACTTGAATTGAAAAAAATGCGAAATTGAAACTAAAAATCACCCAAATACAAAGTTCTTCCCCATTTTCGGTAGTCAGAACTTTACAATTATTATTTGAAAACATTACTTGATGTTGAAAAACCATAGTCGTTATGCAATTTTTTTTATATCTTATGAGAGATAATTCAATGATAAGTTATCTCAACATTCGACAAAAAACATTGAGCTTCAAATTATTAAGTTTCAAAAAAACATTTAAAATTTCTGAATATAATAGTCATTAAAAGCTTGAAATTTTGGTAAATTTTGCATTCTAGAGGCAATTGAAATTTTAAGAAAACGGCCTCTGCTCTTTATTTGCTTATTTGCTTTCTTGGTTGTTTTGATTTATCTACTAGTTTGTTGAGCTGTCTACCAAATTGTTCTTTGAAAGCGCAAAACTTGGCATAGATTTGGTCTCATCTAAGTTCAAGTCTAGGGTGGCTTTCTCATAAAATAATTTTGGATAGGGTTTAACGATCTCATATCAGCTGAGAACGTTGAAAAGATTAGTTCTAAATTACGACTAGATACGACATCTACGACAACTGCAACGACAACAACGATCAAGCATGCCCAACAAAACCACTCTCCCCAGAGAAACCTTCTCATCGCCCAACTAAAGCGTCTCTTCAAACAAGAACGAAGAGCCATCAATTCGAGCTACAACGTAGCTGACTCAGTGACCAAGAGGAACAAAATTTTTGACAATTTGGAAGACGCCACTATCTACCTGGTAGACCACCCGGCTGAACACGCCCACGCCATAGCCGAGGATCTCATTGACCGCTTCACTGATAGACAAGATGAACACCACGACATCATGGATGACTTCACACAGATGCTACAAGCAATACAGCAGAAACAACCCCACAAGAGCAGAACAGTGATGCCAGTTCAAGTCCTCCACACAGCTAATTCAGCGGAACAACAGCCAATACTAGACCAAGATTACAGCCAGACGTCAACAATATCCAGCAAAAACCATCAGCCCGGATCAGCAGCGGATCAGCAGCCGATATACTCAGCAGCAAGTCCCCCAAACACAAAAGCTAAATTCAATCCGCAGTTTTTGATGCTCGCCTCGCAAAGTTCATTCAGAAAGAACAAAGTAATGACATCAGCTCTACAAATATAAGGACTGAAATCACTTCAGTGGATTCAGTACTCTGCTAAACGACGGCAATTTTTTTGACTCACAGAGTTGCTGAAGTTTTGGAAAGCACCCAAGCGAGTCAATGAAAACTTTACCCAAGAGACCTAAAACCATCAGATGGCCGAATCCGTGTAATACCTCTAGCGGAATTCAGTAACAAATCAAGATCGTTCGCCGGACCATAATTTGAATGCAACTGGCCAAAGCTACAATTAAACGACGCCAAAACGGATACTTTGCTACACAACGATCAAATCGACGCATGGATGAAACAAAAACAACCCCAGTGCTAGCTTTTCAAGATTTTACCAGAAAGACTTTACAAAGTTTCATAGACTAAATCAGATTCTCCAAAAAGACAAGAATTTTCGAAAGAACCGCAATTGTGATGCGTGCCGCTAGGACTGGCAAAGATATAGATCTAGACTTCCGCAGGAAAACCCGACCACCGAACTGAGCAGCAACAACATAATTGCCGCGAAGAAATTTATCTTCACGCCGCTAAAACGAGATAAATTCAACAAAGAGGTCAACGCACGTGCGTTGATCTAAAATAAACCAATCAAAACTACTAGCAGACTTCGAAATCTTTCAGAATTTCCATACAAAGACGGATTTTTGCGAACACATGGACGCCTCGAGAAGTCTCAATTGGACTATTGCATAAAACACACAATTATTCTTGATGGAAACCACCCAGCAGTTTACTTCTGCATATGACAAACCCACAAAAACAGCCAGCTTGCCTCAAGAAAAATTACAAGAAATAAACTTTAAAATGAAAATTACATTCCATGTGTTTTCGCACATACTGACAAGATCATATAAAATGCTACGACTGCGGACGACATTAAGCAACTGGACTTCAACAGGAACTTGCACCCCTAACCGATTTTAGGCTTCCGGAAAATGAACCCTTCCCCTTTCAACAAACAGGATTAGATCTTTTTGGACTGGTCTTCGAAAACCGATTTTCGAAAACAGCAGAACCTACAACAAACGCTATGGAGTTGTAATGAAATGCCAAACAACACGAGCCGTACACCTCGAGACTTGCCAGGACCATCCAGCCGACGCCTTCATCAATACTAAAGGCAATTCTTCGTGCGCAGAGGAAAATCAGCAAAAATTGTTTCCGCCAAAATTCACTGCAGCCGAAAAAGAACTCAACATCCACTTCGACGCCGATGTTACATGACAGCTCTACGCCAACCATCAGATTGAATGGACCTTCAACCCTACCTATGCTCCTCATTTTAGAGGTGTTGGGAACGACTCTTAAGATCAGTATAAGACTCGGTCTATGCCATCACAGGAAGCCAGATTCTAACAGACAACTCAACCAACACCGTTCTTTACGAAGTTGAACACTTCATTAACGCAAGACCCATCACTACAGTTTAAGCCCTCACCCCAAAACTTTTTTTTCTCGGGAGAGCGCATGCCAACATGCCACCTCTACGAATCCAACAGCCCTCAACACTCAGTCGACAAGGGAATTTTGCAAAACAACTCGCAACCCATATTTGGAAACACCTGATCAAGGAGTTGATCTCAACACTACTACCACGACAACGATGGACAAAGAAGACGACGCCTATCAAAATCGGAGAAACTGTTTGGATTCTCCATGATATGATGCCACGAGGACCCTGGCCAATTTGATGAATCACAGGAAACAAATCAACCGATGGTGAACAGATCCACGTTTACACAGTCAAAACAAGGGACAAACTTGTGTCAATACCAGCCATTAGACTGGCGCCTGTTAGTCCGGACTATTGCAATGACTCAACTAAAGAGGAATCACGACAATGAGAGCCTCATCTTTAACCAGCCTTGCAACTGACAGCCATAGCCGATAACTTCAACCGACTCTTACACGACCGTTAAGCCAGCGTTTGAAGTTTCGTGAATAGAAACCAACCTACCCCTTCTTTCCTATTTTTTTTGCTACTGCAAAAAGAGGCCGAGTGTTATATTCCAATTTGAAAACTGACAACCATCTTAGATGACTACTACTTTTCATATGCAAACAGGAAAACTCCGGGAAAGAAATTGAAAACCAGAAGGCAGCAATTATAAAGTTGGGAAACATGCAAAACTGAATTCACAAACACATGCAACCGACTAATTTATATATTGAAATCACGAAAGAGCTGAAACACGCCGTCTAGACTAGAAACAGCTCTTTTCCAGTCTTCCAACCCCCTCGTAAAATTACAAAACAAAGCTGTTCAAAAAGTGTTTACACGGCAATTTTTTCACCTCTTTACGCTGTAACGTTCTATTGTAGTTTATTACATGGAAAGTCAATTGAAACAGACTTTCACATAATGAATTTCAGAAAAAATTAAAGGAGGAGGAAACTGGAAAAGAGCCCTAGAAACCATTACATGATCGTTTTATATAACCTAAGAGCGTCAAAAAAATTTTGTTGTAGTTTTTGATGTGGTCGCCTGTCGACCATCCCTCAGATGGTTTGGACACGTCTTAAGCCGAATGAATGTCGTGAGTTTTAGAAGAAGGGGCTGAAAATTCTCCGCGTTATTCATGTTCCCGCATCCATTTTTAGGTTTTTAAAGTAGTCAATGGTGTAAAATTATGCTCAATTTTGTAAGAGAGCCGGTAAAAAAAAACAACTTTCTCGATATCCATTTTTTTTTAAATTTTCAGTAAAATTAGTCTGAGTTGCCTGTCATCATGTTCCGCATCCATGAGTACTAGGACAACTTTTGTATCGCATCAAAAAAGTTACATTTTTTGAAACGCTTTTTCACAATTTCTTTCATTCAATGACAAGTTCCTTCTTTAAAGCGACTGACCAAAAGGTAACCAACAAGTCTGGTTTCAGAAAAGGAGTCCTGCTTTGCACATATCTCTCAATTGTCGTGCAAGATTTCGCTCTACTTCATTTTCGTCGTTATGCTTGTTCCTGATTGGCTGATGATGCTGGTTGCTTTGGATCGTGTGCTGGCTATAGAGAGAGGAGTGTGGTACAGAATTCACTGCACCGTGAGAAGCGCATGGATCCCAATTTCGGCGGTGATCTTGTTTTTAGGCATAGTTGGAACCCCAAGAATTGGGTTTGGAGAGCTAATTCCAGAGACACCCGCATGCAGACAGGCCTCTGTTCTTTTTTAAATCCTTGTATATCTTGAAAGATTCAAAAAAGTTCATTTGAACATGATTTTTTGTATCAAACTACTCGTAGGTAAGCGATTTGTGGCCAATTCCTTTTTTTTTTGGTATTGGAAGTAGTTCATAACTTAGTCCTTCAATCTTTACAAGGGGAGTTTTTTCGAGATAGGTGCGTTTTAAATGGGTCGTTTAAAAAAGAGTTTGATTGCGCTTAAAATAAAGTGAGAGGAAAAATTTTGGCTGCGAACGTTCAACTTTACGACATCTCTTTGTGGTCAAGCAACGCTAAAAAACCACTTGAGGCCCTTTTTTACCTCACAAAAAAGGGGGAAGCTCACGTCAAAAACACGCCATTGTTTGGTCAAAGCGTGGCGAAGAAAAAAGTATTTCTAAAGTTATGGAAGAGCTCACTCGGAAAAACAATTTGGAAGACGGAAAAACTTTCAAAAAACCTACCTCTTCCCTCAAAGAGTAGCGAATAATGAATAATGAGATGCGATTATTTTGCTATCTCATAGAATAATTTGAGATTGAGTACACTGGCTGTTCGTCACACTGTCCATTATCGGCCTGGTAAAAAAACTCTGGTAAAAACTATTAATCTTTCAAAACGTTTTTGTCGATTATTCGATTAGTGGCCTGACTGCAATCAGTCAGGTCTTATAAAACATTAAGAGGGTCGAAATATGATGTGCTGCTATTGAAAATTTTAGAATCATACTCAAAGACGAATAAAGCGAGAAGCAATATTTTGAATAAACCTTCGAACAGGTCGCGCTAAATGTTTTATAGTTTTAATTGTTTTACGCATTTTTGTTTTTCTTCAAATCAAGCACGTGAGGTGTGTCTGATTTCACTTCAGGCTCAATCTTCAACTTTTGATTTGTTGTATCCATCTAAGGTTTATGTTCTTAGATTACATCCCGGGTCGAGGTCCGCGACTTAAGAAAAGACTTTGTAAGTCGCGCCACAAACCGTTTTCAGACTGGATTTCTCAGTCGCGCCGCGGGCTTAAGTCGCGCCGTCAGTCTTTTCTTAAGTCGAGCCATCGGTGTTTTCTTAGGTCGCACCGTTTAAGTTTTTTCGTATATCGCGCCGTCAGTCTTTTCTTAAGTCGCGCAATCACTCTTTTCTTAAGTCGCGCCGTCAGTCTTTTCTTAAATCGCTCTGTCAGTCTTTCCTTAAGCCGCGGAATCTGTTTTCTTACGTCGCACCGTCAGTCTTTTCTTAAGTAGCGCCTTCAGTATTTTCTTAAGTCGCACCGCTTAGGTTTTTTCTCAAGTCGCACCGCTTAGTACTTTTCCTAAGTCGCGCAGTCAGTCTTTTCTTAAATAAACTTGTCAGTATTTTTTAAAGTCGAGCCATCCGTTTTTTCTTATGTCGCGCCATCAGTCTTTACTTAAGACGCACTGCCTATGTTTTTTCTTAGTTCACGCCGCCTATTTATTTTCTTAAGTCGCGCCGTCAGTATTTTTTCAAGTAGCGCCTTCAGTTTTTTCTTAAATCGCTTTGCTTAAGTTTTCTAAGTCGCGCCTTCAGTCTTTTCTTAAGTCGCGCAGTCAGACTCTTCTTAAGACGCGCTACTTGTTTTTACTTAGGTTGCGCCGTCAGTCTTTTCTTAGGTCGCGCCACTTAAACCTTTTCTTATGTCACGCCGTCTGTCTTTTCTTAAGTTGATTCGTCAGTTTTTCCGTAAATCGCGCCATCGGTGTTTAAGTTGGGCCGTCAGTCTTTTTTTTGAGTTGCGCCGTCAGTCTTTTGTTTAGTCGCGCAGTGAATCTTTTCTTAAGTCGCGCAATCAGTCTCTTCTTAAGTCGCGTCGTTAATCTTCTCCTAAATCGCGCCGCCTAAACTTTTTCTTATATCGCGCAGTCAGCCTTTTCTTAAGTTGCACCACGTAAATATTTTCTTAAGTCGCGCCTTCAGTCTTCTCTTAAGTCGCGCCGTCAGTTTTTTTTAAGTCGGACATTTAATCATTTCTTAAGTCGTGCCGTCATTTTTTTTAAAATCACGCCGTCAGTGTTGTCTCAAGTTGCTCGATCAGTCTTTTCGCAAGTCGCGTAATTTTTTGTTAACTCGCGCTGCTTAATTCATTTTTATCCACTTTAAGTGTTTTCTTAAGTCGCGCCGTCAGTCTTTTTTTAAGTCGCGCATTTAATCTTTTCTTAAGTTGCGCCGTCAGTTTTTCTTAAGTCGGGCCGTCAGTCTTTTCTGGAGTCAGGCAGTCAGTCTTGTCCTAAGTCGCGCCGCATAGAACTTTTCTTAAGTCGCGCAATAAAATTTTTCCTTAGTCGGGTCGTTACTCTTATCTTAACTCGCGCCACTTAAACCTTTTATTAAGTCGCGCCGTCAGTCTTTTTTTAAGTCGTGCCGTCATAATTTTAAAATCACGCCGTCAGTGTTGTCTCAAGTTGCTCGATCAGTCTTTTCGCAAGTCGCGTTGTCAATTTTTTGTTAACTAGCGCTGCTTAATTCTTTTCTTTATCCGCTTTCAGTGTTTTCTTAAGTCGCGTCAACAGTTTTTCTTAAGTGGGGCCGTCAGTCTTTTCTCAAGTAGTGCCGTCAGTATTTTCTTAAGTCGCACCGCTCAGGTCTTTTCTTAAGTCGCGCAATAAGTTTTTTCTTAAGTCGTGTCCTTACTCTTCTCGTAACTCGCGCCGCTTAAACCTTTTCTTGAGTCGCCTCGACAGTCTTTTCTTAAGTCGTGCCGTCATATTTTTCTTGAATCACAACGTCAGTGTTTTCTCAAGTTGCTCGATCTATCTTTTCGAAAGTTGCGTTGTCAATATTTTGTTAATCCGCGCTGTTTAGTTTTTTTCTTTATCCGAATTCAGTGTTTTCTTAAGTCGCGCTTTCAGTCTTTTCTTAAGTTGCGCAGTCAGACTCTTCATAAGACGCGCCACCTGTTCTTACTTAAGTTGCGCCGTCAGTCTTTTCTTAATTCAGGCCGCCTAAGTATTTTCTTAGGTCGCGCCTTCAGTCTTTTCTTAAGTTAAGCAGTCAGACTCTTCTTAAGACGCGCCACCTGTCCTTACTTAGGTTGCGCCGTCAGTTTTTTCTTAAGTCGCGCCGCTTAGGTCTTTTCTTAAGTCGTGCCGTCATACTTTTTTTTAAAATCACGCCGTCAGTGTTGTCTCAAGTTGCTCGATGAGTCTTTTCGCAAGTCGCGTTGTCATTTTTTTGTTAACTCGCGCTGCTCATTCTTTTCTTTATCCACTTTCAGTGTTTTCTTAAGTCGCGCCAACAGTCTTTTCTTTTTTCAGGCCGTCTAAGTCTTTCCTTAGGTCGCGCCTTCAGTCTTTTCTTAAATTGCGCAGTCAGACTCTTCATAAGACGCGCCACCTGTCCTTACTTAGGTTGCGCCGTCAGTTTTTTCTTAAGTCGCGCCGCTTAGGTCTTTTCTTAAGTTACGTCGTCAGTCTTTTCCTTAAGTCGCGCAACTTAAGTTTTTTGTTAATTCAGGCCGCCTAAGTCTTTTCTTAAGTCGTGCCGTCATACTTTTTTTTAAAATCACGCCGTCAGTGTTGTCTCAAGTTGCTCGATGAGTCTTTTCGCAAGTCGCGTTGTCAATTTTTTGTTAACTCGCGCTGCTCATTCTTTTCTTTATCCACTTTCAGTGTTTTCTTAAGTCGCGCCAACAGTCTTTTCTTTTTTCAGGCCGTCTAAGTCTTTCCTTAGGTCGCGCCTTCAGTCTTTTCTTAAATTGCGCAGTCAGACTCTTCATAAGACGCGCCACCTGTCCTTACTTAGGTTGCGCCGTCAGTTTTTTCTTAAGTCGCGCCGCTTAGGTCTTTTCTTAAGTTACGTCGTCAGTCTTTTCCTTAAGTCGCGCAGCTTAAGTTTTTTGTTAATTCAGGCCGCCTAAGTCTTTTCTTAAGTCGTGCCGTCATACTGTTTTTTAAAATCACGCCGTCAGTGTTGTCTCAAGTTGCTCGATGAGTCTTTTCGCAAGTCGCGTTGTCAATTTTTTCTTAAGTCGTGCCGTCATATTTTTCTTGAATCACAACGTCAGTGTTTTCTCAAGTTGCTCGATCTATCTTTTCGAAAGTTGCGTTGTCAATATTTTGTTAATCCGCGCTGTTTAGTTTTTTTCTTTATCCGAATTCAGTGTTTTCTTAAGTCGCGCTTTCAGTCTTTTCTTAAGTTGCGCAGTCAGACTCTTCATAAGACGCGCCACCTGTTCTTACTTAAGTTGCGCCGTCAGTCTTTTCTTAATTCAGGCCGCCTAAGTATTTTCTTAGGTCGCGCCTTCAGTCTTTTCTTAAGTTAAGCAGTCAGACTCTTCTTAAGACGCGCCACCTGTCCTTACTTAGGTTGCGCCGTCAGTTTTTTCTTAAGTCGCGCCGCTTAGGTCTTTTCTTAAGTTACGTCGTCAGTCTTTTCCTTAAGTCGCGCAGCTTAAGTTTTTGTTAATTCAGGCCGCCTAAGTCTTTTCTTAAGTCGTGCCGTCATACTTTTTTTTTAAAATCACGCCGTCAGTATTGTCTCAAGTTGCTCGATGAGTCTTTTCGCAAGTCGCGTTGTCAATTTTTTGTTAACTCGCGCTGCTCATTCTTTTTTTTATCCACTTTCAGTGTTTTCTTAAGTCGCGCCAACAGTCTTTTCTTTTTTCAGGTCGTCTAATTCTTTCCTTAGGTCGCGCCTTCAGTCTTTTCTTAAATTGCGCAGTCAGACTCTTCTTAAGACGCGCCATCTGTCCTCATTTAGGTTTCGCCGTCAGTCTTTTCTCAAGTCGCGCCACTTAAATCTTTTTTTAAATGTTACGCCGTCAGTATTTTCTTAAGTTGAGCCGTCAGTCTTTTGTTAAGTCGCACAGTGAATCTTTTCTCAAGTTGCGCCGTCAATCTTTTCTTAAGTCGTGCCATCAGTCTTTTGTGAAGTCGTGCTGTAAGTTTTGTCCTAAGTCGTGCCGCTTAGGTCATTTCTTAAGTCGCGCAGTCAGCCGTTAAGTTGCTCGATCAGTCTTTTCGCAAATCGCGTTGTCA